ATGAATTCTTTGATGTACAGACAGGGTTGAGTACTGAGAAAAAGCTTTGCCACACTCTTGACATTTGTAGGGTTTCTCTCCAGAATGAATTCTTTTATGTCTAGAAAGGTCTGAGTACCAGTTGAAGGCTTTGCCACATTCTTGACATTTGCAGGGTTTGTCCCCAGAATGAATTCTTTTATGTCCAGAAAGGTGTGAGTATTGCTTGCTAAGTTTATCACAGTCTTCATAGTTGTAGGGTTTTCCTCTGCTATCAACACTGTTATGGGTACGATATTTTGATCTGTGGCTAAGACATTTGCCATCATTTTCACACTTGTAGAGTTTTTCTCCAGTAGGATGTCTCTTATGCTTAGACAGGTTTGAGCAAGATCTTAAGACTTTGCTACCTTTTTTACTTTTGTACCATTTTTCTCCAATATGAATTATCTCATATTTACTACCATGTGAGTATGGGTTAGAGGCTTTCCCATACTTTATACAGTGAAATGTTTTCCCTATGGTATATATCATCTTACATCTACTTTGATTTGACAAATGTGTGAATACTTTCAAAGATTTACTACATTGGAAGGTTTTGGTATAGGGAGTCGTTACACAGTGGTCAAGTCCACTGTCACATATTTTCTGGTACTTACACTCAGACACACCTGCCCAGTCTTTTGTTAGGTTTACATTGTCAAGTGCACAGTTTTGATATCTCCTCAGGATTATCTCTGGGAATATAATATTTGTGTCCAGATCTTGCAAATGGTCTTGCTCAGGATGGTTAGATATGGCTGAAAGAAATTTAAACAAGAGCCATTTTAGCCACTGAATTTTTATCAGAATTGAGTAAATACACACTACATATTTTATCTGCAAAATCATGCCAAGATCATTAGGAAGATGGCATAATACAGTTCACAGGCACGAATTATCTTAAAGGTAAATAAATACGGCATGTAGGAACTTGCAGCACAGCAGGTGAACAGAAGTCGTAGAGACACCACAGAGCCTAGGTGCATTGGCTCATGTTTGTAATCCTAGAACTCTGGGGGACTGAGGTGAATGGATCAATAGAGCACAGGTTTTCAAGATCAACCTAAGCAAGAGTAGACCACATTTCTCTCATAAATAGCAGTCAGGCATGGTGACACATGCCTGTAATCCCAGCAATTCATGAGGCTGAGGCAAGAAGAACTCGAGCCCAGAATATTGAGGATGTTGTGAGTGATGACAACACAGTACTCCACTCAGGGTGACAGAAACTCAGTTCCAAATAAATAAATAAACAGATAAATAAATTTGTGTGTGTGCACATAAAGTATAAAAAAGAAAAAGCTAGTAAATATTAATAATAACATATAGAGGTGCTGTGGTAAGCACTTGTAGTCCCAGCTACTCAGGAGGCTGAGGCAAGAGTCACCTAAGCTGAGAAGTTGGAGGTTGCTGTGAGCTGTGACACCATAGCACTCTACTGAGGGGGACAAAGTAAGACTCTGTCTCTAATAAAAATATATATCTGGGCACGGCACCTATGGTTGAAGTTGCTAAGGCACGAGCCACATACACCTAAGGTAGCGTGTTCAAATCTAGCCCAGGCCCACCAAACAACCATGATGGCTGCAACCAAAAAATAGCCAGGCGTTGTGACGGGCGCCTGTGGTCCCAGCTACTTGGGAGGTAGAGGCAGGAGACTCGCTTGAGCCCAGGAGTTGAGGCTGCTGTGAGCTATGATGTCACAGCACTCTACCGAGGGGAATAGCTTGAGGCTCTGTCTCAAAAAATATATATATATATTATATATATACATATATATATGCAATATATATATTAATAATAACAAAAAGAGAGAAGTAGAATAGAAGGAAGCTTGTCATATTTACCTACCACAGAACCCATCATAATAGAGTATGGTGAAAATAGAAGTAAATTCCCAAATCCCAGCTTTATCCTCAAAAGAGGACACCAGTGACACAGTGACACCAGTGTTAATCCTTCTTATTTGCAGGGCCTTTCCAGAGAAAAGTTACTGTCTTCCAAGATTGAGGGTGCTGAAAGGAGCCGTTCTATAGTCTATAAGAGCAACTGGAGGTGCTGAAACCAAAGGTAACATATTATTACAGCAGCACAGAGACTCCAAGACAACAGAAAGATTTAGGTCTAGCAAGTGATCACCAGCTCTTAAGAAATATGGGAAAATGCTTCAACTGAAAAATAACCACACATTTCCACAGGCAGAACACTGTCAGAATGGAATGGTCCTTGCTATCTCAGTACAATGTGTGTCAGAATCTTGCAGGATAAAACCATATCACAAAGTTTGCAAAATATGGCTTTTCTCATTCTCAAAAATCAGTGAAAGATTAACATGTACAAAATCTACGGTGATATAACTCAAAGAAATGAAGGAAATAATCTGTAATCAACCATAAAATATAAAGATGTCAAAATTACCTTAACGTTATCTGAATAATGCAATATAGGTCAAATGGGAATGATACAGACAACTAAGTAACATCACAAAAATGAAGATAGTGAAGGACATAAAAGCATAAATAAGCAGAAATTCTGAAGATGAAGGACACAATGAAAATGACCAAGGAGTCTCAAATGTAAGAAAAAAGATATAAAATATCACGAAGCTCACCATACTCTAGCTGGGAGAAACACAAAGTGTCCTATAAGAAAACATGAAGATCAAGGATTGAAAGAGAATCTTGAAAGCAGCAAGAGAAAATAGACGTGTCATCTCTAAGCATGCTCCTGTGAGATTACTAGTGGAGTAATCAACACAAGCCTTCCATGTCCAAAAGAAGTTGGGGGATATAGTCAAAGTGCTGAAAGAACAAAAGCTTCAAAGCACATATAGGATGTCCCGGAAAACTGCCATTCTAAACAAAGAAAAAATAAATACTTGGGCAGCACCTGTGGCTCAAAGGAGTAGGGCGCCAGCCCCATATACGGGAGGTGGCAGGTTCAAACCTGGCCCTGGCCAAAAACTGCAAAAAAAAGAAAAAGAAAAAATAAATATTTATTATGATGAACAGATGCTAAGAGCTGCCGCATAAGAAATGTCAAAGGAAGGCCCTTTCATTGACAATGAAATGATGCTAGACAACAATACTAAATTATGTAAAAACAAATAACTCTGGGAAAGAAAACTACACCTCCATGAAATTCTGTATTGTTATAATGATGGTGCACAAAACACTTTTAATCATACTTGAGAGTTTAAAGACAACAACAGAAAGGTAGCACTAAAGCTCTCCTACTGGGTCTACATGTATAATATAACAAGATGTAATTGTTGATGTAAATAAAACATTTGAGTACAGGTGTAAAAAAAAAGGAATAAAAATAAAAACTAGTAACTATTGTTATCAGTTTAAAACATATTTTGAAAATGTGTAATTGCCATGGTAACTACAATAAAAATACCTATAATCACACATTCAAATAATAAAAAAAAGTAAAGTGTGTTACTACACAAATCAATGAGACACAAGTGAAGACAGAAAAGGGAAAACAGATGCAATGATCAAAGAAAACAGTTAATAAGTTGTCAACAGGCTCGGCGCCTGTGGCTCAAGCAGCTATGGTGCCAGCCACATACACCTAAGGTGGCGGGTTCGAATCCCCAGCCCGGGCCCGCCAAACAAAAATGATGGCTGCAACCGAAAAATGGCCAGGTGTTGTGGTGGGCGCCTGTAGTCCCAGCTACTTGGGAGGCTGAGGCAGGAGACTCGCTTGAGCCCAGGAGTTGGAGGTTGCTGTGAGCGTGATGCCATGGCACTCTACCCAGGGGGATAGCTTGAGGGTCTGTCTCAAAAAAAAAATAAAAAAAAATAAAAAAAAATAAGTTGTCAACAGTAAGTTCTTCTCTGTCAAAAATTAAATAAATATCCATGGACTAAACGTCACAATCAAATGACGGACACTAAATAAAGACAGGAATACAAAAAGTAAAAAAAAAAATCAAGATCCATCTATATAGTATCTAAATGATGCGCATCTTACATGTAATGATTATAATGGAATAAAAAATTACAGGACAGAGGTTCAGTGCCTATAGCTCAGCGGCTAGGGAGACAGTCCCCTCCACTGGGGCTGGTGGGTTCAAACCTGGCCCAGGGCCTGCCAAACAAGAATGACAACTACAACAAAAAAACAGCCAGGAGCTGTGGCAGGTGCCTATAGTCCCAACTAACTGGGAGGCTGATGCAAAAGAATCCCTTAAGCCCAAGAGTTTGAGGTTGCTGTGAGCTGTGATGCCATAGTACTCTGCCTAAGGTAACATAGTGAGATGCTGTCTCAAAAGGAAAAAAAAAATTGCAGGACAGAAAGATGTTTAATTCAAATATCCATCAAATGAGAGCAAGGGAGATTATAATAAGATATGTATATGTATTTGTATACGTACATTTGTGCGTATGTCTGTATGTATATATACACACATGTGTTGAGACAGAGTCTCACTGTATTGCCCAGGCTACAGTGCCATGGCATCAGACGAGCTAAAAGCAACCTGATACTCCTGGGTTCAAGCAATCTTCCTGAATCAGACTTCTGAGAAGCAGAGACTAATGGCATATGTAATGATAGTCAGGTAATTTTATCTTCTATTTTTAGTAGAGATAGGGTGTTGCTCTTACTCAGGCTGGTCTCCAACTCCTGAGCTGAAGACATCCTCTCATCTCAGCCTCCCAGATTGTTGTCAATACAGGTGTATGACCCTGCACCCAGCCAGGGCACAATATATTTTGAGGCAAAACCTGTCTTATTTCATAAAATATACTTTAAGTCAAAATTTCCAGGAAAGGTAAAGAATACAAAATAATAATGTGGGCTCGGCACCTATAGCTCAACCGGCTAAGGCGCCAGCCACGTACACCTAAGGTGGCGGGTTCGAATCTCCAGCCCGGACCCGCCAAACAACAATG